TAGCCCACCAGGAAGCATGTACAGAGTTTCTCCCAAGAAAAACATGGAAAAAAGGTTAGTCTTTACCCTCAAACTGCCTCCCTGTAGCCATTCGTTTTGTTTTGCTTCGCTTTGCTTTGTCATCGGGCTGCTTCTTTCCGCTTCTTCCTTCTTCTGCTTTTGGCTGCACGCAAGAAAAGCAGCAAACGTCTTTCTTTCTCTCCCCCAAACTCTGCCAGAAATGAGTCTTTTGGGACCCTGCAAGGCCTCCTGCTCCAAGGGGCTGCGCCGGCAAAGACTCATTTCTGGCGGAGTTTGGGGGGAGAGAAAGAAAGACTTCTGCGGCTTCTGCTGCTTTCCTTGCATGGAGCCAAAAGTCTCTCTCGCTCCAGGAGACGGTGAGTTCTAGTCCCGCCTTAGGCATGAAAGCCAATTGGGTGACTTTGGGCCAATCACCAGGAGACCGTGAGTTCTAGTCCCGCCTTAGGCATGAAAGCCAATTGGGTGACTTTGGGCCAATCACCAGGAGATGGGGAGTTCTAGTCCCGCCTTAGGCATGAAAGCCACCTGGGTGACTTTGGGCCAATCACCAGGAGACGGTGAGTTCTAGTCCCCCCTTAGGGACAGATTTTGGGGGTGCTATTCTGGACTTTTTGCCAGTCCAAGATGCAGAGGCTATCTTGCTCTTATTTCTCCAATTGTAGGCAGGGAGCAGCTGGGAGGGAGATGCTGCAACAGACCAGGATTGCAACAGACCCGGATTGCCAAGGCAACAAAGAGTCTCTAGCAAGACAACAAAGGCAATCTTTTTCCTTCTTCTTCCATGTCTAGATCAAACTTTAAATTGCCAGAACAAAGCCATCTTCTTGGCTTTGTCGTTGGCCTGAAAAGAAGTCATGTTTCTGGTAGTAACCGACATAACCAGCAGAAGGGCCGGGCTCTGCGTTTCTCTCTACATTCACACAACATTATCCGCTCAGAGACTTCACTTGACCCTTATTGGTCTTATACACAGAGGCATTCTTAACTCTCAACCTGTTCAGGTTCCCCCAAGTAGTGTAAGGGATAAAACTGAACTATTGCTTTCAGAAATCGTGGGCGCTCCATCCCTGGAGGTTTTTAAGAAGAGACTGGACAGTCGCTTGTCTGAGGAGGAATAGGCTCTCCTGCTTGACAAGGGGGCTGGACTAGAGGACCTCCAGGATCCCTTCTAGCTCCTATTTCCATTTCCATTCCATTCTAAATTTCTATTCTATTCTATTCTGAATTCTATTCTATTCTATTCTATTCTATTCTATTCTATTCTACCCTTTCTCTCCAAACAGAGGAGAGGAGAGCGAGAGAGCAGCAACGGGATGGCACGGTGCTCCCGGCAGGCACCATCGAAGAATGGTTGGAGAAGCGTGCCAAGCGGCTACGGGCAGCGGAGAGAGACAGGTATGTGTTCTCCCCGCCAGCGGCAAGGGAAGCCGAAAGTTGTCTGGCCTTTCGAGGTAACCCGGCTCCATAAAACGGGGACCGCCAAGAAATTTTGGGAACTCGGCTTTATTGTCAGAGGGTATATACAGGCAGTCCTTGACTCACAACTGCTCATTTAGTGACAGTTGAAAGTTGCAATGACACTGAAAAAAAGGGACGACCTTTTTCACAGTTACAGCCTTTGCAACAGCCCCATAATCATCATCTTTTAACGACCCCATAATCCCTTGCGGGATGGAGTCTGGGCAACTGAGTGGAGCTGAGTGTTTACTGGCCGGATGCCTTTCCTGTCGCCAGTGCGGAGTTTTGTTCAGCAGATAAATTCTCTTTGCGTTCCGAGGGAGAAATCTCTGCCTCTACCTAGGATCGAACTCACAGCCTCCTGATTGAGAGGCGAGAGCTCCACCTCTCGGCCACCGCACCACTCACAGCCCCATAATCATATGAACAAAATTCAGACTTTCAGCAACCACTTCATATTTATGACAGTTGCAGAGTCCCGGGGTCATGGGAATCACTTTTGCAGACCTTTTGATGAGCAAAATCAATAGGCCAGCAAGATTCAGTTAACAACCTGGTTACTTTCCGAACAACTGCAGCGATTCACTTAACAGTAGCAAGAAAGGTCGTAAAATGGGACAGGGTTCACTTAGCAACCGTGTCATGCCTCTGTTAGAGTCTGAATCCGAGGAGGAAGACGAACAGCTGTCAGGGAGCGGGAGATTGGCTCTGTTGGCTGTGGAGGAAACGGGAAGGGCAAAGTCTGGCTGGGCAAAGCAGGGGAGAGGTAGGACAAGGGAGAGGGAGTTTGGAGGAAGACCCAGGCCCACCCCTTCTTCATCCTAGGGCACGCAGGGAGGAACGGAGAAGGGAGCAACGTGGGTTGCATGGCTTACGGGGGAGGAAAGGGCCCTGATTCCCTTCATTAGCTACACCTGGGAATGAGAGTTTAAAAGAGATGCAAGCTGAGTGTGGCAACTGCTGGGAGCAAACGTGAGTATATCTTGTGTTGACTTTGGTTATCTGCGTTCCTAGCATCCTCCCAGCCGTGCTGAATTACTGCCGTTCCTTCACATCTGGAATTCCTTCTTTTGCCCTGCCGGAGTTGTCCAATCAGGGCAAATTACCTCATTTGCCCTGATTGGACTTATAGTTACAGTTTTTGTTGACCACGTTTTGGACTTGATTCTCTGCAGCCCAAGGCTGTTCCTGGGAGAGTTTTTTTTCTCCAGCCCAGAAGGTAACCAGGACATTGGGGGCAAAGTTGGAGCTAATAAAGGGACTCCCTACTGATTATCTGAGTGTGTTGCCTTTGTGCCACGCCCCTTTGGGTCATCACAAACCATTTTGCTCCACAACAGAAATATTGTGTGCTCCAAAGTGTAAAGAGTGGGATTGTGAAAACATTTCCCCACCCCCTTAAATCAGATTTTTTTTTCCTTTCCTCCTAGTCCACTTTCTGAAGAAGAATTGGTTTTCCAGTATCCGCCTGGTTGGCCCCCGATCCAGGAACTGCCACCCTCCCTGAGAGCGCCCCCTCCTGGCGGATGGACGATCCCCCCAGGTCTCCACTGGGGCTGAGAAATGGACGGAGAGGAAACGATGGACCGGAAGAGGCGGAAGAGGCCTTTGGAGAAAAACAGAGAATTTAAGTGAACGCGTTTTCAGAAATCCCTGCAAATCTCCTTCTGTTTAGCATTCCTTTCCATTTCAGATTTCTTTCCATTTAGAATTTGCAGAAAGGATACCGAAAAAGGAGCACATTCAAGGACCGAACAAACAGAATAATTTATTCAAATCGTCTCATTTAATTACTCACAGCGCCAGGGGGCACTTCGCTCTATCTGCAGCGCTGAGCCCAAAGCAGCAAGAACAATCTCCAAAATTCAACTTATAAAGAGGTTGCTTTCGATGGGCAGGTTTTATTGCCCTGCCACCTCTCTGTCCCGTTCCACCACCACCACCACCAAACCCCCCAGGAGTTGCTCAGTTTAAGCATCAGCAAAGGAAAGTTACGTATTAAGGAGGATTAATTCTCTTAACAGGCCCCTGCTAGGATGAAAGAATAAATATAGCAAATTCTTATTATTGCTAGGTATGGATTTTATAATCACAGCGAGCAGCGAATTGGCAAATACTGAATTCCTGAGAAAAATAACAACCGCTTGCTTTCTGCAAATCTCTACTCAACATTTTTCGCCAACTGGCCAATGCTCAAACTTATTTTCATCGTGTTTCTGCTTCAAGAGACCCCACTTAATGTGTGTGTATTTCTTGTTAATAAAGTCCAGAGCAAAAAGATTTTTTTTTACCATCAGAAGGTTGTTTTTTTTAAAAATCTTCCTTTTAATGACCATTTTAACGTGTGAGATCGCAGAACGGCAGAAATACGCAGAGGGATGGCTCAAAACTTAACACCGCTCTGACTCTTTGCAAATAACTGTAAAAGTAGAAGAATTAGACCTCCAATTTGGAGGTTTAACAGATTTAACAGAGTAACAGAGTTGGAAGGGACCTTGTAGGTCATCTAGTCCAACCCCCACCCAAGCAGGAGACCCTGTACCATTTCTGACAGATGGCAGTCCAGTCTCTTCTTGAAAGCCTCCAGTGATGAAGCTCCCACAACTTCCAGAGGCAACTTCTGTTCCATTGGTTGATTATTCTTATTATCAGAAAGTTTCTCCTTATTTCCAGGTTGAATCTCTCCTGGATCAGTTTCCATCCATGGTTCCTTGCCTGGCCTTCAGGTGCCTTGGAAAATAGCTTGACCCCCTTCCTCCTCTCTGTGGCAGCCCCTCAAATATTGGAAGGTTGCTCTCCTGTCTCCCCTTAGTCCTTCTCTTCCCTAGACTAGCCAGGCCCAGTTCCTGCAACCGTTCATTGCATGTTTTAGTCTCCAGTCCCCTAGAGGTGGCCAACCTTCGGCAGCCAAGGACCGGAGACAAAATTCAGATGCTTGGTTTCATAGTTATGACGGTTGCCGTATCCCGGGATCACATGCTCCCCAATTGCAACCTTCTAACGAGCCACGGGGAAGCCCAGATTCTCTTAACAATGGTGTTATTATCTGCGGCGATTCACTTGAACGACAAAGGCTGCAGAATGGAGCACAACTCATTGTCTTGCTTAGAAGAAGCAGGGGCTCAATTGTCATAAGTCAAGGACTACCTGTAATTGCCTCCAGAGGTGGCCTCGGGCCTTCTGTGTACCTTCTCAGGTGCTGCCCTCCTGGCCCCTTGAAACACTCTGTACATTCCAGGTGAAGATGATTCCAGTTTCTTGTACCAAAGAGTTTAGTGATGATTATTTTCCTCCCGGGCTTTTGGAAAACAGATATTTTTTGATATATGCCTCTGAATTTTAGCTTGACAGCTTTGCATTGGAATATTCTGCTTTTATCATTAGTGGTTTATGTTTTATGGGGAGCTGCCTCGAGCTCGTGATGGCGGTGGCTTACAAACGTACAGAAATAAATCCACCAAGAATCGATTTCTACTCCCATGGCCGTTCCCAAGGGCTATCATGCCCCTTTCAGAGTCTGAATCGGAGGAGGAAGACAAACAGCTGGCAGGGAGCGGGAATGTGGCTCCGTTGGCTGTGGAAGAAACTGGTGAAGGGCGAAGTCTGGCTGGGCAGAGCAGGGAAGAGGTAGAACAAGGGAGGGGCAACCATTGGCTTCAAGGTGACATCGATATTCCTGGCCTAATAAGACAAGCCAAAAACCTTCAAACTATTTTCAAGATGTGGAGAGAACTGGGGACGAGTGTGATTGAGGGTGCAAATAGCGTGTGTGTGTGAGGTTACCTTGAAAATGGAACCGACTTCTATTGTTTATTTTTTTAGCACCATAAAAAAAACCCCAGCAATAAGATATAGAAGTCTGGAGAGAAGGTGGCCCAAAATAGAAGCCACTCTCTCTCACACAAACACACACACATACACCCCAATATTTTGCAACACACCCCAGTTTTTCTCAGGCAACAGCTACACTTGGCTTGGACGTGACTTTGTTATTATGCTAAGCCAATCGATCGTGCCAAAGTTCAAATAAATATGACAGCATCAAACCGAGCCTCAAAATGCAGAGCTTGTTATCGATCGTCATTTTGTGATACGGTTTGCTATATTCATTTTTTTTCTCCCCTCCTCTGCTGAAATAAGAGAAAGCCGCCTCCTCAGAATCTCCCAGGATTTTGCAATAGCATAGAGGACAAACAAGCGAGCAAATAAATAAAATGGATAAATGTAGAAATTAAAAAAAAAAAACAAATTGCAGAGCCTCTAAAATATTCACAAACAGTGCTAACTTTGTTAACTCTTTTTTTTTTTTTTACAGATTACAGATTAATGAAAGGGACCTTGTAGGTCATCTAGTCCAACCCCCTGCCCAAGGTGTGGGCCAGTCCCAGAGAGAGACATTCAGAAGTAGGGCAGGTTGTCCTCAACTTACAACAGTTCGTTTAGTGACCGAAGTTACAATGGTGCTGGAAAAAGTGACTTACGACCGTTTTTCACACTTACGACCTCACTTAACGACTGCAGCAAATCTCTTAACCCCGGTGGCGAGAAAGGCCGTAAAATGGGGCAAAATTCACTTAACGGCCATCTGGCTTCGCGATGGAAATTTTGCGGCTCTCCCTTTTGGTTGTAAACCGAGGACTACCTGACATCCCATCTCCCTTGCAGCCTGTCCATCATATTGACAGATGTCTCGTTTTTTTTTTTTTTTTCCAGAGCAGGAATCGTAGCGATAAAAACGAATCAACATGTAGAATTAATGTGTGAGAATGCAAAGCAGCTGAATTATTAAGTCATTTGGAAGAGGGAGGGAGGGAGGGACCCTGAGTTTTGTATCAAGAAATAAAGGATATGATTTATTCCCTTTTATTATTATAAATGCCGTTGAGCAGTTTGTCTCTTGGCTATAACAATGGAACATTTTGCTCTGTCTATCGGGTATATTTTAAGCAACACACACACACACATACACTTTTCCTTTTAAAAAAAAAAAAGCACACGCATAATCCACCTGCTCAGTCTTCCCATAAATCTTGGGTCTGTACCTATTCTTTTAAATAACTTGACATTTCTGTGAATTGCTTCCCAGCATCGGTGCGCTACGTGTTTGGAGAAGTAATAGAACGAAAAAGGATAGCTCCAAGCGATAGATGTGCAGGATGTGTTCCTCCTGAATTCATCTCTCGTGCTCTTGTTAATAATAATAATAATAATAATAATAATAATAATAATAATAATAACAACGAATTGTAAATATGCAGCAAGAAAAAAATCACAAAGTACCAGGACTTACAAATTGAAGTTGAGCGACTTTGGAAAAAGAAATCGTGTGTGATCCCAATTGTAATTAATGCCCTTGGAGCAATACCTAAAGGGCTGCCTCGCTATTTGGAAATCCTGAATTTATCAGACTGGAATAATACCCCGATTCTACAAAAATCCACCCTACTTGGAACAGCTTATATCCTCTGACGTTACCTGAACAGTTCCTAGGTCCTTGGTTAGGACTCGAGCTGTTGAGCTACCAACCAGCCCCGAAGGCTGTGAATCTCACTAAATATTTAATAATTATGATGATGATGATGGTGGTAGATGTGGCCGTGCCTGGAGACAGCAGAAGAGAAGAGAAAGAACTGGAGAAGATAACAAAATACAAAGACCTACAAATAGAAATAGAACAACTATGGCAATAGCAGGCAAGGGTAGTACCCAGAGGCGGTATTCAGCCGGTTCTGAACAGTTCTGGAGAACCGGTAGTGGAAATTTTGAGAGAACTGGCCAATACCCACTCTGACTGGCTCCTCCAACCCCATCTGTTCTCCACCTCCCATCGAGTCCCAGCTGATTGGCTGGGTCTCCTTTGGTTGCCCTGCACAGGAGAACGGAGCTGGAAAGCAGGTTAGTGGGATGGGGAGGGAAGGGGGATTTTGCAGTATATCCTTCCACTGCCACGCCCACCAAGACACCAAGCCACACCCACAGAACACCACGCCCATCAAGCCACGCCCACAGCTGATTGGCTGGGTCTTCTTTGGTTGCCCTGCACAGGAGAACGGAGCTGGAAAGCAGGTTAGTGGGATGGGGAGGGAATGGGGATTTTGCAGTATATCCTTCCACTGCCACGTCCACCAAGCCAAGCCACGCCCACAGAACACCACGCCCATCAAGCCACGCCCACAGCTGATTGGCTGGGTCTTCTTTGGTTGCCCTGCACAGGAGAACGGAGCTGGAAAGCAGGTTAGTGGGGTGGGGAGGGAATGGGGATTTTGCAGTATCCTTCCACCAAGCCACACCACGCCCACCAAGCCACGCCCACAGAACCGGTAGTAAAAGAATTTGAATCCTACCACCGGTAGTACCAATAGTCATAGGCGCCTTGGTGCAGTCTCAGACAACTGGAGCACCACTTGAACACCATTGGTGGCATTGACACGTTTGCCACCAGTCAATTGCAGAAGGCAGCTTCCCTTGGAACAGCTTCCATCCTGCGGCGAGATGTGTAACACCATCCAACACCCAGATTCGCCTATCCCAGGTCCTTAGTAAAGGACTCGAGAGGTTGACAAAAATGCCAAACCCCAGTCTGGCTGACTGTGCGATGAATAATAATAATAATAATAATAATAAATTTGAGAAGAGCTAGAGAACAGACTTAACAAACAAACTCTGATCAGCAAGTTTTTTTTTTTTGGTTTTTTTTTTTCCAGTTTAACAATTGATTCATTGTGGCACAACGATACATTCATGGCGAGAAAGCATGGGAGTTGTGACAGTCTCTTTCCTCTGGCCACAGTTAGTACATGAACCAACCTGCTTGCAAGTTCGACATTTGGACAGAGTCACGTGTGAGAAATAAGGCACAATAGCTAGTTTTGTCAGTTTTGAAATGCTTCAAACGTTTTCAACCCCACTGGGACGGGCGGAAACCAGAAATACAGCAAGGATCAGAAATTCTCCGTCACATCAAAGCCTCCGGTTACGCAAGAAAAACACCCCAGCCTAGCCAGATGGCGCTAATGTTGGGCTTCACGATGGTCAAAACAAATGGGTTTTTCAAGGGGTGCCCTGGGATCATTTATATACACAATGCTGCCACTTTCCTCAACCTGGTTCGGAGGTCCGGAGGCATGGACCTCTACGCGCTCTGCGTTCCTCCGCCAGCAGGAAAACTGGGTTGGGTTGAAGAAGTCCCAGCATCGTTGGACGTTCTCCAAGAACGTTGGGTTCTGCTGATGTTGCGAATTGAAGGTAGAAGGCTGAGTCGGAAGTG